TGTGTCACCTCCATTCTCAAATAGAATGCCAGAAAGCTCTGGGTATGGAAAACAATGAAATCTCCGATGGGCAAATTCGTGCCTCTTCCAACTGGGATGGCAACTCTATCGCTAGCCGTGGGAGATTATCAATTAAAGCCTCTGGTCGCATGAAGGGAAGCTGGACAGCTTCTGCAAAGAATTCACACCAATGGCTTCAGATTGATCTTGGAGCCAACGATACTAAAGTTACAGGTGTAGCTACTCAAGGAAGGCAAGATGCCGACCAATGGGTTACCAGTTACAAGCTTCAATATGGTAATGATGGATTGTATTTTCAGTACTACAAGGATCAAGGTGAGGAAAAGGTAAGCGAAAATAATCTTTCTCTTTGGAAAACCTCAAACAACATTGAAAGTTGTGAAATAGGGTCTGGATTAGGAGGGAAATTCTAAGCGACTAGACCAAGTTATATGTTTCTGGCATTGCTCACAGTTTGGCAACTTTGATAAAGTTAATGTAACTTCCATCCAAGCTGGCCCTTGGACCTAAGAGTTCAACGGAAAACACGCAGCAATTTTAATACACGACCAGCCTCCATTCGAATCCTTGCTTGTCGTGAGCTAGCACAAGAAAATATAGACTAAGCTGGTTCAATGTCAAAACCAGCGTTTGACTAACAGATAAGAGGTAATAAAATCACTATTTTCTTTTGTTTCTCATTGGTTTAGATAAATAAATTTTACTTCAAAGTAGTTTTGAAGTTTCAGGGGCATAAGGAATGGCTGCGAAAACGCTCTCTGAATAAATGTATCCTTTTAATGTCGACCTAATGGTTTCTGACTTTGAAAAGCGACATTTTCAGTTGCTGATTTCAAAGTAATGATAATAATGATATTGATGGTAATGATAATAAAAATAATAAATACAAAAACACGCGGTATCAGCCCGATCACATACAGAAAGATGAACGAAGTGCGAACAAACCATAAAAAATGAGAATACGGTGGTTCTTAAGTGAGGGATAATATTAATCCGGATCTCTGCGAGCTCAGGTGAATTTAGAATAGTTTTTCATGTAATCGTTCAACTTTACACGAATGACTATCTTTTTACCTCCATAGGATTTTTCTGGAAACAACGACCGTGATACGGTTGTTTTTCATCAATTAAAACCGCCTATCGATGCCCGTTTCGTTCGTTTTTGCCCAGAGGCTTGGCAAAACCACATCTCAATGAGGGTGGAGCTGTATGGCTGTCTTCATGGTGGGCAACATTTTGATGTATCGGAGTTATTTGGCCTTTTGTAGATCGAAAATTTTCTACGGTCCTTTGCAGGACCCTACCCTTTATTCTTGGTTGTTTCATATTTTTAGGGCCTCTGACATTCATACTATTTTATGGGTCGTTTTTAATCTAGTTTTTGTCATCTTTTTGTTTACCTCCAGAATGTCAGGAAGCTCTAGGTATGAAGAATGGTGCAATTCCCGATAGACACATAAGCGCCTCTTCGCATTGGGATAATTATTATGAGGCATGGCAGGGTAGACTAGATCAAAAAGGGACATGGATAGCAGGGTCCTGGTCATCACGAGATAATGATATACATCAATGGCTCCAGATTGATCTGTGTAGTCCATACATGAAAGTTACAAGAATTGCCACACAAGGTAGAAATGCTCACGATCAATGGGTAACACGGTTTACATTGTGGTACAGCAACGATAGTAAAATTTTCCAATCCCACAAGGAAGCTGGAACAACGACGGAAAAGGTTAATATTACGTTACACCTTTAGTACACTTTTCAATGAAGAAAGTTTAGGCATTAGAAACAGACTTTTTAATGCTGACGTTTTAATGCAAATGATATTTAGTGTTCGGAGCGGGATATCGCATCGGGATGAACCATAAAAAATGCTTTGTTACATTGCTTTGACGTTTTGACCCATTGCGCAACCTGAAACCATGGCCAATCAGGTTTACACTCCAAATGAAATCATCCAGATAAATACTAAGGTGCTACATCCTATGGTTATAGGAATTTTGGTGTCATACAATTTCCAAAAATTGTCTAATTGAAAGGGGAATCTGGATCATGTTACCAACTAGATCCTTCGCTGCAGAGTTTTCCCAAACTTCGACCCAAAGGCAGGAACTGAAATTCACAGTTTACAAAAAGTTGCCGACTGGGTTTACAAAAGAGTTTTTAAATGGCAGCTTCCATAACTAGTCTTGGATACCTTCAAATTCTAAAATTTTTTACCTAGGAAAGTCTATCAAAGCTGAAAATGCGGACTGTTACGTAATTCTTCAAATACGTTTTGGTTGGGGAGATGAAATTTATTGATACCTGCAGAATTTTTGAGAATTATATTCTAATGCCTTTTCATGCAGCATTTTGATGGAAACAGAGACCGTGATACCGTGGTTTACAATAAAATCAACTCACCAATCAAAGCTCGCTATATCCGAATTCGACCACAGGCCTGGTACCGCCACATTTCCATGAGGACAGAGCTTTATGGTTGTCTGGAAGAGATCAATGGGGGTAAGGAGTGTATTTTCATTTAAACCGACTAGGCGTGTGCAGGGTTTTTAAATTGTTGCGTTTTGAAATCGCCTCTCAAGTGATCTCTTGTTCTTAGTTGATGTGCTGTATTTATAATTTGCTTAAATCTCCTTCTGTTGCCAAAAAAGTTATTAGAAAATAAAGTAATGTGGAGAAGGTAGACAGCATAAAAAATTCCATTTGGAATTTTTATTTTAAGTGGAGAATTCTATATGTGGATTACGAGCAAACAAGTAGGGAGGAGGACCAAAACTGTTCGCGTATATCTTACCCTTCATTCAAGCCCATTAGACCCTGGTTTTCCTTTCTGTAGTATCCATTAACATATCAGACTGTCAACAAGCTCTTGGCATGGAAAATGGTGCAATCGCTGATGCACAAATCACAGCCTATTCCATCTGGGACTATAACCATGCTGCGTCTCAAGCCAGACTGGACTTTAAAGCAGTTGCGAAATCTGGAGCTTGGTCAGCTAAGAGAAACGATAATCAGCAATGGCTTCAGGTGGATCTAGGTAGTCAGTACGCCAAAGTTACGCGTGTAGGAACACAGGGGA